ATGACCCACCTTGATTTTCTCCCCCCCTCCTCTCCCCGCTCTCCTGCTGGTAATAGCTCATCTTAAGTGATCACTCTCCTTACAGTGTGTACGATAACACCCATTTTTTCATGTTCTGTGTGTATATAAATCTCCTCACTGTATTTTCCACTGAATGCATCCGATGAAGTGAGCTGTAGCTCACGAAAGCTTATACTCAAATAAATTGGTTAGTCTCTAAGGTGCCACAAGTACTCCTTTTCTTAAAACAACAGGTGTTACTATACACACTGTAAAGAGAGTGATCACTTAAGGTGAGCTATTACCAGCAGGAGAGCCGGCGGGGGGGGGAGGAGGGGGCACGGGGGACGGGACACACTAACTTTTTGTAGTGATAATTAAGGTGGGCCATTTCCAGCAGTTGACAAGAACATCTGAGGAACAGTGGGGGTTCATGTTCTCTATGTATATAAATCTCCCCACTGTATTTTCCACTGAATGCATCCGATGAAGCGAGCTGTAGCTCATGAAAGCTTATGCTCAAATAAATTTGTTAGTTTCTAAGGTGCCACAAGTACTCCTTTTCTTTTTGAGAATACACACTAACACGGCTGCTACTCTGAAACCTGCCATATATATTGTGTGTGTGTTTTTAAGGGGAAGAGAAAGTGAAATCTGGTCAGTTTTCTTTAAAAGGTGATAATTAGTTTCAGGTACAACACCTGACAATTTGGGGGGCGGGTAGGGGTTTACAGTCACATTTGTCTATTTCTATAGAACTGTTTTTCTCTCCCATCTTCTTGTGTGGAAGACCCACACAACCAAATGGAAAACTAACTGACCATGTACAAAGCACTGTCACATACAAAAAATTTAAAAAAAAAAATTTTCTCGCTAGTCTTTCAGCTACAGTGGTATTAGGTAAAAAAATTCAAACAGAATTTTTTAAGTTGATGATGTCTCTTTAAAGTGAAAGATGCCAAATGGAAACCACAGGAAACTAGAGTTCTCTATTTATAAAACAGAACATGAACACTGGCAGTGCAATCTGCCTGGCTACTTTACACACCCTATTAGTTTGCCATACTGCAACCTGAAGAGCCTTCTTGTAGGGGTGAAAGAATAACTCAAATTCCATACAGATTCACTTTACTGAGACTGCCAGTGGGCAGCAATAGACATTTATCCATGGGATACTGATCTGAGATACGAATTTATTTCATGTGTAAATGCATGACAGTTGTTAAGTGCCAACATAATTCCTGATTCTGTTTAATCACATTCAGAGAATCCTGTGGCTTGGTTAATGCTATCATGAAAGAGGTTAGGGCTGAAGGATCTTCAGGCTGTTACTCAAAAGAATGAGAAATATTTTGCACCCAGAAGTTCTCAACTTCATGTGAATTCTGCATTGTTCTCTAGTACTTTCAATGGCAACTTGGAGAACCATCATCTGTACTTGAGTAGGAGCTGGGCAGCTGCTTCAGTCACATGGAAAAGTAAGTGAGAGAGAAAGAGAGCAAAAAAGGGAAGGAGGTTGGAAAGTAATATACTTGGGAGAAGGTCTCCTTGAATACCTATGGCTCTAGTGAAAAACAGACTCCATTCCGAAAAGCCTAATTTGTATCATAGATTAGTGCTTCACAATATCCTTGCCTGTGTGACAGATACCTTCAAGTACTGGCATAAACAAGCATGTCATTCACCAAGGACCTTAGCTCAGAAATCCAAATCTTATTGGCACATGAATTCTGAAATGTACAAAAACACAGTATTGATCGTTGTGTGCAACATCTCAACAGAAAGTCAAGTAGATCAAAATAATTCCAAAAAAAAAGCAAGGCTTCCCTCCTCTCCCCTTTAATTTAGCTTCTCTCTACTTTTAGATGGCTTGTGTCCAAAACAGAGAATCCATTTTTACACCTCCCCTTCACATACTGTCACACTCTTATGCATTACTATTTTACAAGCTCTTATATACACTCCGTTAATGCCTTTCATTCTGCTAGATCACAAACAAAAAACAATCAACTAATGTGGTTGGACCAAAAGGCTTGTAAAATCTACTGATTCATCATCTTAGGCCCACTTGGTTTTATGTAAGAAGTAGGGCCACATGCTACCTATCTGTGGATAAATCTATGCAAGGGTAAAACATACACCCCAAGTACCCCCTAGGGTTGCCAACCCTGCAGGATTGTCCTGGAGTCCCCAGGAATTAAAGATTAATCTTTAATTAAATATTATATCATGTGATGAAACCTCCAGGAATACATCTAACCAAAACTGGCAACCCTAAACTACCACCATTTACAGTTCACAGACTTCAAGTCACATCCTCTGGTGCAGTGAGAGTCATCTTGTGGAGAGACTGAGCCAGCATGAACATGGCTAGTGAAATCAATGGACAGCTGGAACACCTACACTGACCTGTGAAAACCACAACCTAGCCCACAAGAAGTAGTAACTCCCATATGAATTGCCTTTGGGAAATCTGTACTCTGCAGATGGCAGCATGCTGCAGCCTGTTAACAGCTTTGTAACTATTGCACACTAGATGTAGACTCTTGCATGGCACTTGATGATTACCTGTTCTGTTCATTCCCTCTGGTGCACCTGGCATTGGCCACTGTTGGAGGGCAGGATACTGGGCTAGATAGACCTTTAGTCTGACCCAGTCTGGCTGCTCTTATATAATCCTGCTGACCTTGGCCTAAATCATTGGTGCCAGCAAGAAGAGCATGTATTAGTGGAGTGACTCCCTTCCCCGCAATGTGTACATAATGGAGAATTTTTTTGCCCCCTTTTCCACCTTTTTCTAGCATAAAGAAAGGACACTTCTGACCCCTATGTAATAAATGTAACTCAAGCAGCTTTATAGGTCCTATAGCACACAGACAGAACATAGAACTGCGTGTGAAAATAAAAACTAATTAAATTGCAGAATTGTTTAAAGTGCAGAAGTACTTTTTCTAACTGGCAAAGAGGTGTAGAGAGTCCTACATTGTGTATGGGGATATATATGTTCAGCTACATATAGATTTGTCTCCTGCAACAAATCATGGGTGACAGCTAGTGCAAAAGTTGACTTTTTATAGTTTAGGTTGCGTATTATTTTTGTTCTAAGTATGTAAGATCATGCCAACAGTGACTGAAAAAATAGTCATGATTAAACAATATCTATTTCATTTTGAAAACCCATATTACAAATGCAGCATGCTTCCCTTCCCTGCTGCTTGGAAACACAGGCCATTTGAAAAATCCATTTTAACCCCCTTACCTGAAAGCCTTTCAGTTTGAAAATCCATTCCACTGAGGCTGTAACCCTGCTGCTATCCCTTTCTTTGCTCCCCGAATTACAATGAGATGCTAAACCAGAGTTTAGACTTAGAATATTGGCAAACAGGCTTCTCCAAGTTTGTTAGTCCCCAGGTATTCACAATAAGGCTCTCCTTGAGCAGAGAAACTTCAGGTGTGACTGTTACTAATCAAGGAGTGCTCTGCTCAGCTTCTGCACTGAAGCAATCAGTTGAAACTTTCTTCTCACAGCTAAATAAAAAGATTTAAGTGTGAACTGAAAGCGCAGTGGGAGGAGGGGCAAAGACCTTTACCAATAAGTTATTTCAACTATAACAGTTCAGGAAACAGAGAGTTGATGAAGTTCTGCACTCAGCAGGGGGCAGGAAGGGAAAAAGGAGAGAGGTATATTTTAGTCCTATAATTATGTGGCCACTTCAGTAATGATTCAGGTTTATACTTTAATGCAGCCTCAGTGAACTAACATCAAAATGGGAATCTCTCAGCACTGTGCCAAAACAAGAGACAAGGGATATTTGTAACCAAAAATATCATTAAGTTCTTCTTATGTGCAAAATTGTCAGTTTGTCTCCATATTTTATAATTAAGCCCCCCACCCAATCCTACAGTACTAGACAGTATTTGCAAACCCCAAAGTTAAATTATATAGAGATAGAGATAGATATATACATGAAAATATATGCCTCATAGTTTGCACTTTCTATTAGCATGGAATGAATGGACTTGATATTTGCCTGGTTTGTTGCTTGGAGAGCAGCTGTTTTCTCTTCTCTGTAAATTAGATATATTTTAGAAACCAAAGAAAAGTAAACCTAATTGAGAACCTGGTTTTTACATGTTGGGAGAAAACAGCTGTTGGGAGAAAATAAATAAATACAGTGCCCTAGATTTTCTGACACACCTTCTCCCTCCAGGGATACAAAGATTATGGCCCCAGTCCTGCACTCATGTCTGAGGTCAATGAGACAGCTTCTTGTGAATAAATTTGTGTCCAATCCTGCAAGACATTCATGTGGGCAGACCCCTCCACTGATTTCAATGGGGCTCTGTGCATGTCTGCCTATTCAGATGCCATTGCAGGACTAGGGCTTTGCTTAGCTGCATACAACTACCCCGGATCCTCCATTTCCCCCCTGGGCAAAGTTAGAATACTTGTTGAAATCTTGTAAAGTCAACAATACTTATAAATTATGCTACTATACTCTGGACTATACTGTTTTATATAACTGAATATCTTGAATCTGAATATCTAATATCTTTTATATAACTGAATATCCAAGGGGTTGACTTTAGTCAATTTTTTCCTGCCAAGAAGATGAAACTAAGTTTAAAATAAATTTTTCTCATTAAAATTATTAGAATGGAAAGTTACTTTCTCTCTGCAGTGCTGATCTTAAGGTGACAGATCAGGGACGCAGAGACATCTCCTTATCATGACTGATACCTTAAAAATATATTAGTTTCTATCACTAAAACCAGCTGATTCTGAAATCATAGTTTCATGCTTTACTTTTCCTTCGCTAGAAGGCAGTCTCCAGCCAACACGTCTATCGAGTTTACAAATGCAGTAACATGAGCATGTAACTGCCCTGATGGCTTGGCAGGAGCTAGCTGCTAAGGGATTGGCTGCTCAGAGGCTTTTACGTGAAAAGGGTTGGGTGGCGGAGCAGGCAGCAGACTATGTTCTCTGGTAGTCTGCAAAGAGCAGCTAGTGCAGAGGGGAGGAAAGAAAGGGAGGAGATTGTGCAAAGGTTTAATCAAGCCAGAAGCATCTCATTAACCTTTACCGCTTCTTCTCCATGCTGTTCTCTTCTGGCTTAGTTTGCTCTATTTAATGCATTGTACCAGGTAAGCCTTCTGTAAGAGTTAACGTTGCTGATAGGGACTCCTCCTCATACTAAAAAATGCATTTTTAGGAGTTTCTGTGGAGCATAACAAGCCCCTCTTACAAGTGCAGAAGGATTATATGGGTGTTTGCTAGTGTACTAGTGCAGATTAACATAGTACTTAAATTGACTTTTGAGTCTATGAACTACCTAAACTAGTGCATGCATCTGTGTGTGAAATCAGCCATTTTCTCAGAATTTTGCTTTTTGGGAGGGATCTGAGACATTAAGATTTATATCATTACCCTTGTTTTGTATTACTTAAAATGTCAATATGCATCTGTAATGCTAACATTTAATGTCTCCAGAATGGTCTTAACTTCTGACTTTCTGATTTTTGTCAGTTTCCTAGTTCTCATGCCTGTTTGTTAATGCCCTGTAAGTGTGCTCTAAAATTCAAAGAAGCACAACTAGCACAAGGAGTTTCTCTCAAAATAGCCATAAGTGAAAGTTGTTTTTGAAACTTCAGTGTGTGTTATTTTGGTTCTGTTGAAAAAGCTGAATTTATGTTGCTTTGGCTTCAGTGACTAATAGGGCTCTTTTTATTCCCCCCCTTGCCCCTGCACTTTCCTTAACAGGCAGAATTAAGAGACTCGGAGTCTGCATAAAAGGTTTTTCCCCCACTATATTTTGGCACTGCTCTGCAATACCAGTGAGAGCACTTAGAAGTAGAAACCTTTCTTAAAGTGATAAAGCAAATATTTGTTTCCTGTGACTCAACAGAATTTTATCTTCATTCAAACTACGCCAGTCTTCACAGATGTATTACATTTGAAACCCTGATCCACAAATATATAATATACACACAGTTTGTTTGAACTAGCCATGTCTTTTTATACTGTAATTGTGAATAATCTTTCATCAGTAGAAAGGTGATTTATTTTAAAAAAAAATGAATAGATGCCATGTAGCTTTTATGCAGACCTGTAGTAGACTTACACATGGATTTAGAGATGCTTTTAGGAAAGTATACCTTTATTCAGGGCTACTGTACTAGATTACTACAATGAAATCAGATGGGGTGAAGCATGTTCTTGTTGCATAAATTAAGCAGCCAAAATCATGATATTGGTATGCCTCTAACACCTGCAGCTGGGTGAATTACTCTTGGAGAACAATTTTTATCTAGTAGTTTGACCATTCTTGTCTGAATTATCCACTAACTGACGTTACAAATTATTCATTTTATAAGTGTTCAACAAACACTGTGAACGTATCCATTTTTACTTATTTGACACTATGTGATGATGAGTCCATGCAGTGTTATCTCTGCTCCCTGATTGAGAGAACTTGCAGGAATCTATGGGTCTTGGCTTGGAGCCTGTATGACTGAAATGAGATGCGTGCACTGTAGTTGTAGCTGTGTCAAGTCCCAGGATATTAGAGACAAAGATGAGTGAGGTAATATCTTTTACTGAACCAATTTCTGTTGGTGAGAGAGAGAAGCTTTCAAACCATGCAGAGCCCTTCTTCAGGTCTGGAAAATCTGTTCCACTTTGCATTATGCTGTGATTCTGGGAGTTCCCTTTTCAAACCTGAAGAAGGGCTCAGTGGGGTTCAAAAGCTTCATTCTCAGCAACAGAAGTTGGTCCAATAGAAGAGATTACATCGCCCACCTTGTCTCTGAAATGAGATGAGCGCTTCCACTAGGAATAGCTAATACCTGTGCTGCCTTATGAAAATCTTCATCCATATTGCCACATGTACATTTGCAAGAAGATGAGACCTTTCCCTAAGATTTGTGTGAATAAAAACCTGTTTGCACAGGTGTTCATGGAAAAGCAAACAGCTGGGTGAGAATGTGGCTGAATCAAAACAATTCAGAATTTACGAATATGGTTGAATAACTTTTCATGCTATTCCTCAGCTTCCGTAATTGAAAGTCATAATCGTAATTTAGGTTGCATTATTTAAGAGTATGCAAAGAGCAAGCCATGAATAATTAAGATGATGAATGAAATCAAGTGTGCACAGCTTTTCAGAAGACTCTCTTCCAGTGTGTATTTGATGGAGCAAACACCTTATAACTTACCATCTTCCTGATCACATTTCAGAATGATACAGATCTTGGACCCAAGGCCTTTGCCCAGCTCCATGATGCCTGTTGATGTGGCCATGAGAATTTGCTTAGCCCATTCGCCACCTCTGAAGAGAATTCTCAGCCCTCTTGATGACTATCAAAGAAGAAACTTTGTTAACAGATTCAAGCCTCTCAGACCATGTCTCAACGTGAAACGTGATTCTGAGTGTCGAAATAATGAATGGAACCACTCCCCAAGCCGAGCCAAGAAGCGAGTTGTGTTTGCGGATTCAAAGGGGCTATCTCTGACTGCAATCCATGTTTTCTCTGAAATCCAGGAGCATCCAGTGTGGGATCTTCAGTTTGACTTGTTAGACCTTCAAGATATAACTGCTGGTTTAAAACTACATGAAGAGAAAAATTTGATTTTGGGTTTCTCTCAGCCTTCAGCTGATTACTTAGATTTCCGGAATCGCTTGCAGAAGAACTTTATCTGTCTTGAGAATTGCACCCTCCAAGAAAGGGCTGTGGCAGGGACTGTGAAAGTGAAAAACATGAGCTATGAGAAGAAGGTTCAGGTTCGAATTACGTTTGATACGTGGAAAACCTACACTGATGTTGACTGTATATATATGAACAATGTGTATGGCGACTCTGACAGTGACACTTTCTCATTTGCCATTGAGCTGCCTCCAGCCATTCCCACTCAAAAGAAGATTGAGTTCTGCATTTCTTACCAAAGCGGTGAGCACATCTTCTGGGACAATAATGAGGGTCAGAACTACAAGATTGTCCATGCAGAATGGAAACCTGATGGCGTCCAAGCACCAGCATCTACTCAGAGAGACTGCACAGTTCATAAGATTCCAAGGAAGACACATGAAACAGAGTATGAGCAGCTTGGCAGTCCGAGGCTGTCAAATGGCTTCTTTCCTGAGTGGCAAAGCTGGGGTAGGATTGAAAACTCAGCCCCATATTGGTGAATGAACTACTTGCCCATGAGCATTCCTGCTTTCAATAACTAAACAGTGTTAGTCTTCAGCCTCTGCTTCATGTACAGTACACCAAAACCTGCTAGAAAGTTTTGCTGACTCTTCTTACAAATCCAAATTTACTAGCACTTTGGGACTTGTTGAGTTAAAGCAATTGACCATCTGAGAACTTCTAAACTTCTCAGCCACATCTTACCCTTGGAGAAAAAGGGGTCCATTTCAAAATGGAAAAACAAGTCCCTCAGTCGGTTACCTACTGTAGAAATAGCATGTCTGTGTTAAGTATACATGACTTTCTTTGCTATTCACTAGCCTTAATCATGGGTTAAGAGACACTTGTGAGGAAGTACAATTGTGTGGTGGAGTTTTGGGAAGCTGTGATAATTGTGTGGGGGGGACGTTAAGTGAACAGAGCCACAATTCATTTTGTGCATGGCACAGTATGTAGTAGAGATGGGATATTGCTGCTGAGACAGAGGTTTGTCTTAACCCTCTACATCCTCATGGAAACAAAATGCAAGGTTATGATTCTGTGGTATGAATAAGGAGTATCTTTTTGGGTGGATAACAGAAAAGTGAGAGAAGGGGAAGAGGTAAGATGCACTGTATATTTTAGGAAAGCGCAAAAACTTTTGGAAGCTGGTCTTCCAAAAATCACATGGGAAATTTTTAAGGGGTAACAATGAATTAATCAATAAAGAAAGTGCAATTAGCTTAAACTGCAGCCTTTTTGTTCTAACTACTTCATATGTGAAAATAAGTGACAGAGTAATGATAGATGGGAGGGGTGAACTCTGTAAATATGCTTATGTATATTTAATCTTGTGGGAGGTGCCTATCTTGTACCATAAGCTCAAAGTTCTGCCTTCACTTATACCCATGCAACCCCACTGACTTCACAGGCAGAATTTGGCTCTGTGTACATTTAAGAAGCCATGTGCCTTTTAAAAATCCCTAAGATGCCAAAAATCCTATCTTGGAAAAAATTATTTAGAAGACAGATCATGTAACTTATAAAATGCCCTAATTTATAGGTGAGGAGTTAAATGTGTTGGCTCATCTGCTGATCTGATCTTTCTTATGAATGTTTGTCTTGGCTCTTATGGTATCTTGTTCCCTATTGCAGTCAGTAACACTTCCCCTCAAAAATAGTTTTCCAAAGCAGTAAAGTAAACTTAGGCAACTGAGGTCCTTCATATTGAAGGTGCTGAGATAACTGCACTTTTTGAAAGCTAATCTGTTAAAAAGAGCAGGGTTGCCACTGGTTTTCTCTAGAAAGAATACTTGTCATAGTTAAATATCTTGCACATAAATAGGAGCAGTTTTCTATGCTTCGTCTCAGACCTCAGTCATTTTCTGTGAAGTCAAAATGTTTGGTACTTTTTTTTTATTTTACGTATTTCAGCAAACCCAGTGTATTTTTGCACTTTGTGCTTCACATCCTGAGCTATCAAAGTGTAAAGATAATCTTTTTCCTGTGAGAATGAAGTGGGAGATACTAAGAATGTATGGGATGTAGCAACTCTAAATATATACAATACACACACCTGTGTTCACTTGTCTGGTATACTGAGCTGATGTTGACATGAAAATGCAAATCATATTACTCACTCAGATACTGAGGATTGGAGCATTTTTGTAATAAAAAGGTAAACGTTTAAGGTGAAATTAGCCTCTTCCATTCCCACCCAAATATTTTTCTACTGTAACTATCACTGTACTGTGTAAACTGGTCCATTTTAAGAATAAAACATATTTTGATATATCAAACTGTTTTCCTGAGGGATTTCAAAAACAAAAACAAAACCCTCCTTCACCACCCATTGTCCTGCTTTATGTGATTAAGAGGGCAATTGAGAGTGAATGGTAGGAAGACCTGGATCAGCATTATGGTCTGCAAGGGAGCACTGCTAGAGTTGGTCAAAAATTAACATTTATCCCATGGAAAACTTCAATTTTCAACCTGAATTTAAACGAAAAAGTTAATTGTGAATGAAAGGCCTAAAATATTTCAGTAATATTCTTTGGGTCAAAGTGTCAAAACAACATTAGACATTCCCAAATTGAAACGTGTGACTGGGATATTTTTGAACCAAATCGGAACATAAGTTTGTCAAACTGTCTGCCTGAACTGCTGTCATGTAGTGTAGACATACCCTTAGAGACAAAATTAGGTCGATTTTATAGAAGTCAATTTTTAGAAACCGATTTTATACAGTTGATTGCGTACGTCCGCATTAAGTCAGCAGAGTGCGTCCTCACTACCGTGGCTAGGATCGACTTACAGAGCGGTGCACTGTGGGTAGGTATCCCACAGTTCCCACAGTCTCTGCTGCCCATTGGAATTCTGGGTTAAGCTCTCAATGCCTGATGGGGCAAAAACATTGTCGCAGGTGGTTTTAGGTACATGTTGTCAGGCCCCCCTCCCTCTGTGAAAGCAATGGCAGACAATCGTTTCATGCCTTTTTTTTTTCTTGGGTTACCCGTGCAGACGCCATACCACAGCAAGCATGGAGCCCGCACAGCTCACCATACATCTCCTGGGTGCTGCTGGCAGATACGGTACTGCATTGCTACGCAGCAGCAGCTCCTTGCCTTTGCAGCAGAGGGTGAAGTAGGACGGATAGCCATCGTATGTCTCCTGGGTACTCCTGGCAGACCTCGGTGAGCACCGAATGGGAGCCAGAGACTCCAGGTCATTCTCTTCTTTAAGTTTCATCTCATGGAGATTCAGTCCTGCCTGGAATATCATGCGTGCAGAAGGCTTCTGCCTCAGGCTGCTCTCCCAGCCGGCAGCACCACACGGTCACACCTACTCCAGCCTACCCCTTGCTCCCATGGCTCATGAAGCCTGGACAGTAGTAAGGAGTGGTTCAACTATAGGTTGAGCAAGTGCAGAATTGTGGTAGAATGTGCCTTTGGAAGTTTAAAAGCTCGCTGGCGCTGTTTGCTGACTAGGTCAGACCTCAGCGCAACCAACATTCCCATTGTTATTGCTGCTTGCTGTGTGCTCCATAATATCTGTGAGAGTAAGGGGGAGAGTTTTATGGCAGGGTGGGAGGTTGGGGCAATTTGCCTGGCATCAATTTTGAGTAGCCAGACACCAGGGCGATTAGAAGAGCACAGCAAGGCACGCTGCGCATCAGAGAGGCTTTGAAAACCAGTTTCATGACTGGCCAGGCTACTGTGTGACAGTTGTGTGTGTTTCTCCTTGATGCAAACCCACCCCCTTTGTTGATTTTTAATTCCCTGTGAGTCAACCACCCTCCCCCCTTCAAAATAAAGTAACTATTGTTTTGAAACCATGCATTCTTTCTTTATTAATTAAAAAAAAAAAAGGTGAGATAACGGACAGATAACGGTAGCCCAGGTGGGGTGCAGGAGGAGGGAAGGACAAAGCCACATTGCTTATTGCAGCCACGCTAAAAATCAAACTGTTTGAATGACAGCTTTCTGTTGCTTGGGCCATCCTCTGGACTGGAGTGGCTGGGTGCCCAGAGCCTCCCCCTCTGCGATCTTGGGTGTCTGGGTGAGGAGGTTACACAGTTATACAGTGGGTCTGTGCTCTTGTTGGCTTTCCTGCAGCTGCAGCAGACGCTTCATCATGTCTGTTTGCTCCCCCATTAGCCTCAGCATCGCATCCTGCTTCCGCTCTTTACACTCACTTAATTCTTTCCTGGCTTCTGCCACTGAATGCCTCAGGGCACAGCTTAATGCATGATCAGTGCAGAAGGACTGCATGAGCTCAGAAAACATGTCATCATGAGTGCGGGTTTTTTTTTTTGTTTTTTGTTTGTTTGTTTTTTTTGCCTTCTAATATGAGATCATCTCCATCCCTGAGGTTATAGGGGGAGCATAGAAACATTCTACACTCTACAGTTCTGGGGGGGACTGCATGGTCACCTGTGCTGCTGAGTTTGCCACCCTGACAAAACAGGAAATGAATTCAAAAGTTCCCGGGGCTTTTCCTGTGTACCTGGCTAGTGCTGTGTATCTGCCGCTAAATTTGACCTAATCCTGTAGAGTAGACTGGGCCTTAGAGTGGTAATTCAGGTGCCTTATGCCTCCATTCTCTTTTATGAGCCAGGCTTCTATGATAGACTGCATTTCCCATGACACACTATATTAGTGACTCTGCTGCAGTTCAGGCAAAGGGGGAACACCATGATCCAGGACCAGCCAGGGAGTCTGATCTGTAGGGGAGAATAGGGACATGACGCATCTGAACTGTCTCTCCCATACAGCAGCTCAGGTGGGCCTAGATTAATGTCAAATTGAATCAAAAACGTTCATGGAAAAGATTCAATTCTGCAGAAACCCTTCCTCCCTCCCCGCCACCCAAAAGAAAAAAAAAAAAAGCCATCTTCCTAGAAAGGTCCTGTCAGCTCTGAGCACAGCAAAAGCAACTCCTAACACAGCAGAATACGAAGATTGCTCCACTAGCATTTCTTGGCAGGGGCCAGTAGTGGGAATTGAACCAAGTCCATCTGCAGCTGGAAGGATAAGCCTCTATAGCCTGACTTAAAGACACGATACTTTAGCAGGCTCCCCCGCCCCTCGCTGGGGCCTGACGAGTAGCAGAGGAAAACAAAGTACCATAGAATGGGTTACGCTGTATAGGAGAACTCTCTCACTCCCTCAAAACAATCTGGTACTAATTTCCCTCCAGGGGGAGTAAGAAACTGGGGTTATGAGACAGAGTTACAGCGAGGTTGTTTGAGAGCCTTCCCCACCCGTTCCATGGCCCAATTTGTGCATCAACTCATTACTTCTCTCTAGTCACTATTCTGTATCTTGCTGGAGTAGAAGTGCTGCTTTGTGTCTGAGGCAAGGAGACATCCTTTCCTAGAAATCCTTGCCAAAGGCTAGATCGAAAGGGATAGCTGGCACATCCTTGCCCTGGGACGGGGAGAGAGGGTTTTCTTGGATTCCTACTGCAGAGACAGAAGTTGCTTTTAAAAAAACCAGGAGCAGTTGTTTTTAAAACAATGTAAACCTACTCTCTGCACCACCTGGGCTTTAAGTCAGCTCCCCTGGAAGGCTATCTTGCAAGGTTTGGACCTCCAGTGTGCAAGACAACAAATGAAGTGGGGTCCTGTAGGGGCTGTCATGCCATTCTCAAACTCCATGGGCCCCAGCTGTAAAGACAAGCAAAATATTTTCTCTCTCTCTCTTTTCTCCCGAACCTCATGGGCTCTAGTTCAAAGCAATCCCCTTTACACAGCAAAAAAGTATCGGTCTGGTCCACCTTCCTCCCTTTCTCTGGTCTATGCTAAAGCTGAGGCGGATGCTGCTTTTGTTTTTGATTTTGGCCTAAGGTCTCACTGCGATGTACCTATGACAAAATATGCAGCAGGGTGACTTAAGATCATAGACAAGGCAGCCTGCCAAACAGAATCCACAGCGGGATTGGCTCCTTGGCCCTCTGAACCCAGCCTAGCCCACAGTTTCATTTAAAGCAGACTTCAAAGGTGGTCCTGAAAGTTGATCAGCCCATTCCCTCAAACAGTGATAATTAAACAAAATGTTATTCATCAAAAAATGCTTCTTATGTGTGGCTCCTCACACCTTCCAGGTGGGTGCCCTACACTCTGGACTAGAGTTATTCCCATTGTTTCTCTCTGGCCTAGTCATTCCATTTATTTATCCACAGTGCAACAGCTTCAACAGGAGAGAGCCCCACATCAGAATATCATAGAGCCCAGTGACTAATGCACTCTCCTGAAAGGATTGGAACTGCACTCTCCCACCTTTCTCCCCTGTGCCAGGTAGGGGGGAATTGAACCTAGGATTCCCCCATCTTAGGTGAGTACTCTAACTACTGGGGCAAAAGTTATAAGGAGGATACTCAGAATTGGTCCTCTTAGGCAAGTTAGTCAGCCACACAGCTGTGTTCCCCTGGTTTGTGAATCACTCTGGGGTTTAGGTGGGAGATAGGACCACAGGAGGTGGGAACTGTTTACTTTGAACAACATCGGCAGTGAGAGAGTTTAGGTGCCTATTGTGTTCAGCAGGAGTCTTGTGGATTGTGAATCTGGGTGCAAGCACCTCCTGATACATCTACAGTGCAAAAATCCCCCAAGCCAGTAAGTCTCAGAGCCTGGGCCAACTGCCTTGGGCTTGTGCTACAGGGCTAGAAATAGCAGTTTAGATGTTCCCACTTGGGCTGGAGCCTGGGCTCCGAGACCCACCCACCTCACTGAGTTTCAGAGCCCGGGCTCTGGCCCAAGCAGGAATGTCTGTACTGTTATTTTTATCCCCGTAGTGTGAGCCCTATAAGCTCAAGTCAGTTGACCTGGGCTCTGAGACTCACTGCTGAGTTGTTTCAGTGTTTGTTTTTTGTTTGTTCGTTTGTTTTTTGGTAGCGTAGACGTACCCTAAGTAGATTTGTGGATTCCACTCCATGTGTCTGTCAGCTGCGTGTGCAATATATCTCAGGTGAAAGACATGCCCCCAGGTGATTGGTTTTCAGAGCCCAAATAGTCCCACGTTCTGTCCCCCAATTTCAGAAGTCAAAATATAGCTCAACACTGTAACTTCTCTTTTGCTGCATTCAGACTTGGAACTATTGGTCATCTTATTTCAAAGTAACTGTCTCATAAAACTAGCACAAAAAGTATTGAGAACACTTACACCGTAACAGAGATCCCACAGCGTTCCTTAGTACATCAGTCTCTTAACTATTTATTGTCAGTCATTGGTGCTCATGGTTGATGAATGTTTATTTGAGCTACCTCATTGCCTGAGTTTATCCTGCGTTTGTCATTTCGTTCTAAAGGAGACCCTTTGCTCATTAATTTTAACCTCAGACACAGAGTGCAATTACATTTTTATAAATTCTATTCCATGATGTAGGATTAAACACCATATGAGGAAGAGAGTGGCTGGTTTGGACCAGGAACGTTGTGTTACAAATACAGGTCTCTTTGACCTTCCTCCAAGCAACAAAGCTGTTTCTTTGCCCATGTTTTTATTTCTTTAAAACTTCCCACGCAAAACCCCAGCAACATCACGTTGCAAAACAGCATTTGCCATAATTATACAACACAAAGGCATAGTCAGCACACCGTGAAAAAAGATAGCTAAGAGCACATGGTGGTGCAGTTTAAGAATCTGAGACCTTGAACTGGGGAATAGGCTGATGCTCAGATTAAGGAATCCTGTTATTCAGATGATATTAAGACCCCCAGGTAGAATCATAGGACTGGAAGGGACCTTGACAGGTCATCTAGTCCAGTCCCCTGCAGTCATGGTAGGACTAAATATTATCTAAACCAGTGATTCTCAAACTTTTTTTTACTGGTGACCCCTTTCACATAGCGAGCCTCTGAGTACGACCCCCCCCCCCAATCAATTAAAATGCTTTTAAATATATTTAACACCATTATAAATGCTGGAGGCAAAGCGGGGTTTTGGGTGGACACTGATAGCTCACGACCTCCCATGTAAGAACCTTGTGATCCCCTGAGGGGTCGTGACCCCCAGTTTGAGAACCT